ACAGGCATCTTACCAGCAATTTGTTTTGATATGATAAACCAGTCAGTGATTTATCCCTGCCAGCAGAGGTTGGAATTTGAAACACCCCCACAATATTTTGTCCTTAAAAATGCTGTAACTTGTTAAATATGAAAAACTGGCATAGAGGATGTAATGCAAGCTAAACTTTCCCAATGCGTTCTTAAAAAATTTATGAGACTTTAAAATGTTCTGCCAATCAGTTATAAAAAAGGTTTCCATAGAAACTGTCATGCAACATGACTTTTTGCTATAAACACACTTACTGAAGTGTCTAACTTCTACATGTTCATTCTGTTTTCATGGGGAGCAAAAAAACCCATCCCCTTCCTGTTATCCAGGCTCCCTGGCTGAGGCTACAGCAGTAACACATTTTGACTTGTTTATAGAGATTTCCTTGGTTAAGCTGCAATGGAAATAAACACACTTAAAGAGGTTATTATTATTTTGCAGGAATTAGATCATGTAGGTTAATTACTTAACCTTTAATCTCTCCCAATTGCATGTGATTGCATACATTATGCCAAGACAATTGATATTGGGAGTAAATTAATTGTTAAAGTGTCAGAAAGTTGGAAAACTGAAAATAAGTATACTAAACCTATTTGACCAAGTTCCCAGTTTCCTGCAGTTCTCAGTGCCAACCCATCTCAGAGCGTCTGTCTGATTTCATTACCTCTAGGTGCAGTGGAAGAGTTTTAAAATTAGAAAAATCCATCAATGGTGACAAAACTGGAAATATTTGGCAATCTAATCCAAGGCTGGCCCATTGTTCAACTGGTGTGATAGTGCCTGGGTTTGAAGAGGAGACACCGCCAGTTTTGTCAGAACTTTGGCATGGCATGGCACCACCTCTTTCTGCGCATTTTTTCACGCAGACATACTGCTTGTAAAAAGTGCTGACTTGACGGTCTCGGAGGCTGAGGTTGTTCCCTTTATCCGTGGAGCAGCCCTCACATTTTGTTGCCAGGTGGAGGGTGGGGTAGAAAGGTTCCTGCACTATGCTTTTCAGCCAACAGTTTCCCTTCCTTGCTATCACTATTTTTGTTCCATTAGCGGCAATAACAGCGGAGAGCATTTGTTCAGGCAGTGCTCCAAGAAGCTGGTGGTTTTGCCAGTGTCAGCTATAAAAATGTAGAATAGAAGAGAACAAAACATAATTGTTACTGCTGGCTCCCAGCTTCTGAGAACAGTACCATCTACTGCTACCACTAACAAAACCAGCCCAGGGATAACAACAGTAAATTTTTTTCCACAGAATTTAGACAAGGCCACTATGATTCATTGTGAAGCTGGAGGTGAAGCTTCAGAGCTAATCCATGTTCTGCCTCTGCCATCAAATTCATGCTTCCCTTCCGCTCAGGCCATCGCTGTTGCTAACTGGTAGTGACTGCCACTGTCTGATGGGCATAGAATTGCATTGCATTACAACAAAAGCCTTGATTAAACCGACTAGATCTGATTACTTGAAGGAAACTCTTTTGTACTTCAGACTTTTATTTTCCGTTAATATATTATTAGATCACCTGTTTACTGAAAATCTCACTGGAGAGGTAGACGTGATTAAGCCTTTGCCTGGAACGCAGCAGGCAACCAGTAAGAGCATGTTCTAGTGCAGGCTGCCATGCAGAGTCAGTGACTTGCTTTGGAAACTCCTGTTCACACACGGTGTTAGACGTGCTCTGAATTTCTGCCAGTTCAGGCTCCTTTGGGTTGCCAGGCAGAGGATCTGCATACCCCAACCTCAAAAAGCTCAATCCAAAGCAGGTGATATAAATGGTGCAGAGGCAGGGAAGCATCGGGCTCTTTGATGGAGATAAAACCGGCAGCGTTTCTGCGCATGCACTGGCAAACATGCCAGTTATGTTTGGCACTTCACTAACAAGGCAGGGGTTGGAGGACTTCACTCTTGGACTTGAGTGTCTAAATTCCACTGTAGCCTTGGCTTCAGAAACGCAAGCCCTTCTGGGCCAAGGTCCTTCCGTGACTCAGTTCAGAGCACATAAGGTAGAGAAAATAATTACCTCTCATCGTGTGGAAGTGCTGCAAATAATATGAAAGACGCTATGGCACTTATATTACTTTTTCATAGTTAGGGTCCATGGCAAAGGAGGGGGATTGTACAGCAAAACAATCCCACAGTTACCGAATTAACTGCTGTAGGAATTAATATTCCAAACATCACTGAAGGCTTAGTGCAGGCTCCTTTGAAAATCTCAGCCATAGCTGGAATTCTCTTTTAAAAACAAATGAAATGCGTAGCTAAGAGCTATGAATACTGCAAATTAATCTTTGCACTCGCATACAGCCTTTTGGATTACCTGCACTCTCTTAACTTGATCCAGGACTTCTGCATCCTAGTGTGTGTCCCCCCCCCGCCCTTTCCACATTTGCTGTCAGCTTCCTACCATAATTTGTACTTGTGACAAATACACTTTCTATCCCCATCACCATTTCTGGGTCACTTTACAGAGTAAAGCCTTTGAAAGCTAGAGATCCCATTTTGACCAGTTATAGTCACAACTACTGCTGCACATGTGAACATCTCATGAATTCTCATCTGTCTTCTCTCTCATTGCCAAGGGCAAGGGTAAAGATAATATTTCATGGCTTAAGTGGCCTTATAAAATGTTCATGGGCAAATTGTAACATATTCTTCTTTCCAAATCACATTTTTTGTCAGGGCAATAGTGTAAACAAATAAAAAAAAGTTTCAATTCATTTTCAAGCAATATATTCTGAACATGTAAACAGCTTCTATCTCTGGGCAGGCCAGCTGGGTTACTTGGATGGAGGTCCTGCTTGTTACGTATAGGAAAAATCAATATACTTCACATTGCTCAAACACTGAAAGCACTGAGTCAATTTAATGTTAGTGAACACAAAGCAAAGGCAACACTCATTTTCAGTTCAAAAGAACTTTTTCTACAGGAAATTAATACAAGTAAGTTTCAAAAATGAAACAACTGGGAAATTAAGGGCCATAAAGTCTACCAGTTATAGGTAAGGAGGATAAGGGTATGAGTCCAAGTCTGGCAGCTAACTGCTTATTTTATGATCTTGTTCCTCAGTCAACACAGTAAAATAATGGGGAGGGAAGGCCACAGCAGCAACACAGGCAATAAAAATGGAAGAGCTTTCATGCAGCTTCTTAGAAACCTTGATTACATCCATTATCAGGTTTTGTTTTAAATAAACAATAGGATCTTTACCAGCATCACATTTATTCCTGCTGGGACAAGGTTAGCTGTCAGCATTTAAAGTTGTGATTTGGCACACCTCTAGATCTGTGGTTTTTCCTGTCATTATTCCTTAATAGCAAGAGCTTTGGCTCTTCTCATTACTTCAAGTATAAGGGAGGTTGTCCAGATGCCACAAATCAAGAACAGTGTGTATGTCCTAGAACAAAAGCTATGGAGCAGCAGTGAGGTGCGGCTCTATAAAACCTTTTAAAGGTAAAAGCCGGGGGTTTGATTGCTGCAACTTTTGATGGCTGTTTAAAGAGAGGACTTTTGCAACACTTAGATGTATTTCTGGCAGGGCTGCAGCAAGAACACTGCAAGCAGTTTCTGCCTGGCATGGAATGTGAACAACAACAAAAATCTCTCTGTTGAAACAATATTGTAGTCAAGAAAGTAATTAATATTATTGCATTTACAACATATGTGCTTATTCATACTGCTTTCTGATACATTTTGAACAAAAATGATTTCTCCCACTATAAAAACCTAGTACAGAATATGCCAGCATGGGTTAATAAATGTATACATACAACGTGTGTTTAACACTGCAGTTTAATTAGAGCTGGTATTAATGACTTGCTTCTCACTACCAATGTGCTCCAGAGTCTTACCTGGTTTAAATTAACATCAGCACCAGAGCAGGCAGGCAAAGGCGTGCTTTTCTTTATTTCTGTTTATGTTATTTTATATACAAGAAAACTATTCTAAGGTTGCTTGACATAAACTACAACTGGGGAGCAAATACTCAAGAACTTCTACTGTGTAGCGAGATTCCTTGATGTGTCTGTAGATGGGCAAAATACAATTCAAATTCCGCTTTGCAAGTCAGTAACTTCCAGAAACACTTTTGTCATGTAACATCTTTTGGCTGTATTCCAGCTTCTATGTCACATTCGCGGAGTTGAACAAATCAAGTCCTACCTAGCTAGAACTTCAAATCTGATTTACCTCTGAATTTTAGTGAGAAGACGTTTATGAGTTCTATAGGACTAGGAAATCAACAAAACATCTTCTTTGATGTTTCGCACAAACTGTTATTAAAACTTACGTATAGTTGAACAGTTTCCACACTGAAAGCTATTTTTCCTTCAGGCTTAAAAATCTTGCTTCTTGGCTGTGTATGTTCTTCTTTGGTCTAGCCATAGTACTAAAGTAAAGCATTTTCTTCTAAAGGCAAACCTGACACAACAGCCAGTTTGTCCATTATCCAACAACCAGCATTATTTTGGATTCAAAATTAGAAATTGTAGCAAGTTGGGTCTACTGGTTGACACACAAACTGTTACAGGGCATCAGATGCAGCCCTTTGAGAGTGTAAAGCAGTGCTTAATAGACTTCTCCAGCTGTCTGGTCAGCAAAAAACCACAAGCCAATCCTACACAAACACAGCAGAATGGCAAATCCAGTGCAACCGAGTTTTCAGTAGCACATAAGAAAAAAAACACAAACTATTGGCCTTGGTGAGTCTATGCAGTGGCTGACCACTTCCAGAAATGTTCATTCCCCAAATAATGACCGAGTCAAAAAAAAAAAAAAAAAAAAAAAAAAAAAAAAAAAAAAGCTTTAAAACATATGTCAATGCTGTCCTTTACGTATGAAGTCTAGATCTTTCAAGATTGCTGATAAAAACTATAGGAACCTGACCAAATGTTTCATTCCTGTCATAGCACTCAGTCAGCCAGAAAGTTAAAGGAAACTGTGACAGAATAATTTCAGTCTAGCCAGTTATCCACAGAACTATACTTTATATACAGTTTATTTCACTAGAGATTTTAATTTTATACATAGTATAAAGGGGTATCCTGATATCACACATATAGTTATTTTACTGTACTGTTTAAGAACCAATTTTTTACATAATACAGTATTAAGTACCATATTAATTAAAACAAGTGATTTTTTTAAAAAACTACGTATAAATGGATGTTTATCATATGCACAGTGCAAGAATGTTTTTATATCATTGTAATCACAAAATGTGAATCTAAAATACAACACCATGATTTAAAACTAATTTATAATTATGATGCCCTGTGTTGTAGACCGCTTAATCTTTGTTTGAATTACCAAGCAATGTTAAATTCCAGACAAACAGCAGCAGCAGCTTAAAATTATGATTTCAGAAAGATACCTTCCACAGTAACCCAAGTTTTACAAAACACTGGTTTATCCCTACTTCTGATCTTGACAATGTCCTAACGAAACAGAATAATGGCACAGATTTCATCTGGAATTATCTGGTAACTAATGCTAAATAAATTCTTTATTACTTCCACACAGGAAACCTTTACGGATGATCGAGGAGGTAAAGACGGAGAGGTTTATGGGCAGAATTCTCAGAATTTTAGTAACCGAGTACAGGATTTCTCCTCTGCAAATAGGAAGAAAATACTATAATATAAATCAGGTTGTAATATTTACAGAAAACAATTGTGGAAAAGAAAGCATTCATAATGTAAACACGTCAGAAATGACTTCTTCATTTTCCCTTTTGCAGAGTGGGGCAGTGGATGAATATCAGCTAATAAGAAACAGATGTCTTCCTCAGAAGAACCACTTCACCATCACAGAATATATGTGGTAGTTGTTGAGAATTGCTAACATGTTTTCTCCCCTCCCTCCCCCCAAAGTTTCAAGTTCAATAAATAGTAGAAAAATAATCCTTTACTTAAAAATCTTGAGATGCATTGTCCTAGATTCCATACAGCAATTGTCGGAGCAGTAAACTTCCTATGCACAAAACAAACTGCAGAGAAACCAACAGCGTTCCCCCCCACCCTGCCTCTCTGGCACTTTTTTAAGTCTTCAGCTGCGCAGTTTTCTGCTCTTCCAGTTAAGGAAACCAAATCATCTCTGGCTCTTTTAAGCTCGCTCTCTCCTCTTGGCTCAGCATAACAGGGCTTCCAAAGCTTCAGCTGCTGTATAAACTTGCGTCCCTGTTTCTGGAGGTCTAACGTGCCTCCTGCTCCATTTTATTAAATGTTATGGCAGGTCCATTCATCAAGCACGTTTCTCTTCCATTTCAGAGCCAACCTTACATTTATAAAAATGTAAAGCTGTTATGCCTAACAGTTTATTCAGGAAGTTAGTTAAATCGTTCCTGGTGAAAAGCACAGAAACAAAGCTGCCTGTCGCTGCATGGATCATTGTTCACAAGTTATGTTGCTTTTGTCGTTGTTCATTAGCATTCTGCATCCACAGTGTGTACCGTGACTGCAGCCTGTAAATGGTGGCTGTGGTGAAGAGTTGGGTGGTGCAACCGGTAGTGGTGAAACTTGTGACTCAACAGGGCAGCTGTCTGAGGTGGTGTGTCCAGGTCTAAATCTTCATCGTGGTTTCCAACATCAACACCGGCCGACAATGGGTCGTTATTACATGGAGGGTTTTCACTGTCTTCCTGAGGGCTCATAGTGCTGTAGCCTAGAAAATAAATCAGCAGGACTAAGGATTAAAAGCAAGACTGAAAGGTCAATATTCCATGGTGCTGCCTGCTGCACCCTTCATGGAATCAGACACAGTCAGGGCTTTATAGAGAATAAAATGATTAATTTTCTTTAATTAAGAAAAAAACCCAAACAAAACCATCCTCTCCTGTACATTCATTATGGATCCCTTTCCCTGTCACCGTCTTTGTTTATAAACTTTGGGGACCTATGGTCTGTACTGCCCCAAACAGTAAAAAACAATCATGCAGTCAACAGTTTGTTACAGTAGAATTGCTAGTGCGGATTTTAAAACCAAAGCCTAACAGAATTTTTTTGGGGGTGGTATCTTTTAAGATATTACTTGAATTTTTACAAACTGACAAGAAATAGGTGGGATCCACTACCGTTACCTCTATTCCTATCAAACTACATCTTTCCTAGAAAGGATTGCCAGCTATTGTATCTGGAAGCAGCAAAACTTCTTCACATCATCTTACTGCATAATCACAGTATTATATTTTTAAAATGAAGAGAGCACTTTTCACCTGTGAGGGTCTACCTGCAAAAACCAAGCATAAGTTTTTAATGCTGGTGAGATTTCCATACAGTTACAGAAATCTACTGAATCCACATGGGAAGCATTTCACGCAGCAGGTCCATTAAGCCAACTAGTACTGACACTTCCAGCTAAGCAGGCGCACATAGTGCAATTAACTCGAGGCTCTCCTTTGACTAAACCATTTGCTACTGGAGTCTAAGAACTTAAAAAAAAGCAGATCAGTCACCTATAGAGACATACCATTCACTGCATTATCCTAAGGAAATTATGTCACTAGAAAGCTAGCTAACAGCTAACCCTTGCCAGACAAGATAGTGCTTTCTCAGTGAGGAAGCTGTCTCGTAACAGGTCCTTCAGAGATTTTCTGTCCCTTTCTTTTGAAGCAGGTGCTAGCAGTTACTATGAGATTTGGATTTACCACTGAAACCAGCTGTTACCACTCAAAACCAGTTTGTAGCACAAACAAAACCACCTCAGTATTTCTAAATGCAAAAACACAAACAAAATCTAAAAGGAGAAAGATCTTGCTTTAATTAGAAAAATAATCCTCTCAGAAAACTTTGGCTAAAAGCTGAAAAACCACTAGTGCTTCTGAGCATCTTGGTCAGGTTTTCAGCTTGAGACACCTAAAAGAAGTGTGTTAAAAATATCAGGCTAAGTACTTCAGAGCTGATTCTCATTTCCCATGGTCTGAGTCACGGTTTCTAGCTGGCAGAGAGGAAGTGGGGAAGAAGACTGGGCAGCCCTTTGAAGAAGATGGAATTACAGAAACTAAAAATAGAAGCACACATTTCAGAAATAGGTAGACCGTTACCCTACTAACCCTGACATGTTGACTAGAAAGATGGGAAGGATTTGCTAGGACTACAAGAAATGGAGCAAAAGGAGCATTAGTCTAGCAAATCTGCCTCAGCACAGGTAATCTGGCCCCAAATCCAGGGTAATTCCTCCTAGAGGAAGATTGTCTCTCAGACGTCTGTTCATCCACGTTCCAAGGCTTTGGCCTCCAGATTTCCTGTCCCTCAGCAATTCCATTAGTGCAACCACTGTCTTAATAATTGAACAGGTCAACGTACCCAGCCACTACGACACACAGCTAGAGCTGACATCTGCGGCAGACTGCCTTGTCTATCCCTCCTCTTAATTTATATTAAGCCTCCTCATGAGTCAACAGCATTACACCCTTCTAACAGCTTTCAAGATTTAGGAAGACTTAGTCTCAGGGCATGAGAGACGTATCAAAATTCCCTGAACCTAAACAGGGTTGAAGTGCACGTGTGTGTGGCAAACACACGTGGCGGAGTACCCCTTCATTGCTATACATGTACATGGTTAATGTTGATTGTTATTTGCTTAAAGGTGATGTAAGATGTCCTCGGCGGTGATGATATGGACTGAATGTGCAACAGAAAGGCAAAGGAGGCCTCTAAATCCATTGGTCTCTAGATCCATGCTTGCTTTACTCCAGCAAATGCGCACATGCTGCTAGAATTTTATGAAAGATGTGCACGTCATGGCAAAGAGCAGAGCAGTAGAGATGCTGACTTGATTGCAAGGGATTTGCCTTCTCTTGTTAGGTAGGAAAGGTCCATTATCTCAACTGAACATCTAGATTGTTAGGGTTGGCGATGGAAAAAGAGTGTGGTAAATGTGGTGCTGTTTCTGTTGGTCTGAATTCTGGTCACCCAGCGAAGCTGGCAGAACCTAAAATCAGACAGGGAGGGCACAGCATTTAGCTGCTGCTCCGCTACCGCTCTGACAAAACCAGCTCCCTCGCTGGACAGTATCGTCTGCTGAAGGGTGTCAGAACTGTTTAACTGTGAAGCAATAAGGAGCAAAGGTTTTTGGTTTGGTTTGGTCTGGTTTTGGCACGCATATCTGCAACGTGCCAGACATCTGAAGGAAACCCAGTAAACACAATCATTAACCTGGGGCCAGGGCAGTGATTCAAGGTCTTACCGTGGTCGCTTTCCGTTCCCGATCGCCCCCAGTACCGGCGTCTGCGTTCTGGGCTGTGGGCATGCCGCTCTATTACTGCTGCTATAAATCGAGTATTACTAACTGGGAAAGAGAAAGAAACAGAACTGTTTTTAAAGAAAGTGCTTTTACTGAATTACATCAGTGGGACAAATCAGGCACAGGGGAACAGGCCTTCTGCAAACTAATTCTTCTCAAATACTACTACTTTGAAGAAAGCTGTCAAGTGACAGAGGAATAGGAGTAAAGAGATGGTATTTAAATGTGGAATAGATCGAGATCTAGTCAAACTCACCTCATCTGCTTAGATGAATAGAAGTTAGAGAATTACTCGCCAATGCTAAAGAACCTGTGGCAGCACTGAAAGCCGACTCAAAATGAAATTAAAAAGGACTTGGAGAAGCAGTAGATGCAAGCCATGAAACTCAGATATGCTTACTTTTCAATCTTTGAGTGTTGACACAGTTTCAAATCTTGGGTAATGTTTTAGTTGTGTTTTAGTGAGGGCCCAGAGACAGGGATCTGGTTTGACTCTGGAGCTCTCCCAGAGCTTAGGTGCACCGGCTCATCTTACAGCACACCAGTACTATATGCAAAGTGCCATTTTTACTGAATGGTAAAGAAGTACAAGCATCCCAAATGAGTGCAAGTCAGATTTACTGCCACGTTTGTTGAATGTACATGCCGGACTTGGCCTCTGCTTTCCAAGGCTGAACAAAGACAGGAGTTTTCCATAGCCTGTGCTGTCACAATTGCAATTTTTAAGCTGATCGGAGCTATTTCTGGAAGTGGTCATGAAGGCGGGGGTGGGGGGGGTGTAAGGGGCAAACCTCCTCCACACTTAAAACTAGATTAGTCTTTTAAAAGTAAAAAATGTAATTTTTCAGCATGAGACTAAAGGTGCACTGGAAGTTACAGTTTAAGTTAAAACATTGCTCTGTAATTTTCTACTGCTAATCAGTGCAGGGCTTCCTGAGGTATTTTTAATTCTAAAGTATTAAGAAAACAAATGGCTCATTTAATCTAACATTTTTTTAACAGCAAAGTGATTTGGTACTTACTGATTCCTCTGTCTTCATGGCTGTCGTCGTCTCTCTCGTCCCTATCATTTTCCAGGTTCGACATACGCACTGACATTTCTACACACCATTACAAACAGAAAAAGGCAACTGTTAAGAGAAAAATTTTGGATCATCTTACTAACGGCTGTCACCCTGGTAATATAGTGGAAGCACTTTGTGTTACTGTGTGAAGAGAGGCAGTCTGAGCTTGGTCTGCTCTTTTTCCAAGATAGATGGGGCTAGGGATACTAGGAAAACGATACACCCCAACTCCCCCTGAAAGGAACAGGCTTTAAAGTTCTGAAGTGAACTGATTCAAAATAGAGCTGGGGTATAATCAAATGCAGAGGTAATTAGCCCCAATCACACTTGTCACCTCTGTCTCTTTCTACCAGTAACCTTTCTCCCAAACACAGTTTTGTCTCTCAGACTTCATTGGCTTTATCGATGTGTAGATACCCCATGAACATCACATGGGCCAGAAGCAGGGAACACAAGTAAAAAAAGACATGTCCCAAACAGCCCAAGTAGAAAGGGTGTGAAAACTATAATATTCCTGAATGCACCACTCTTGTGCAGAAATAAACATATGTGATCGGAGTGCTATGACAAGGTCAAGAAAGCTGTGAAGCTGGGCTTATCGTTTTAGCTCTAGAAAAAGGGTCAAGAGCTGCATGTCAAGGTTTTCGGGCAGACTCTCCTCAGGCGGCAGCAGGTCTGGCTGCACCCAGGAGAGGGCAGCAATACATAATCACCCTGGACAAGACCTGACTTTCCTAAGGGTTGGCAAAAGGGAAATAAAATGGGGTGAAGTATTGAAACAAAACCAAGGAAAGAGGGTTTGGCTCTTTTCTTTTTTTTGGTTGGTTGGTTTTGTGATTTTTTTGTTGTTGTTGTTTTGGTTTTGCTGTTGTTTTTTTTTAATTCCCACCCTACTATTTCTCTTGAGTTATCAGCTTACCCTGGGCAGCCAAAGGTGACATGTGCTGGTGGCTCCTCCGATGTATCTGGTGGCGATATGCGTATACTGCTAGGACAAGCACCATAATGCAGCCCATAATGCCTCCAGCCACTGGGCCGACTGGTGCACTTTTGATCATGTTCAGAGTGATCACCTCATCTCCTAAATCAACAGGGACACAACAGAGGGAAAAAACCTAAGTGCTTTGCAGAAAGGTTTAAATCAACATCTTTGAAGATCAGAGAAGATCTTGAAGGCTTTTTCTAGGTGCTTAACTGCACACACACTGGACAGCACACTTGAAATAGGAGAAGAAATTCAGAGAGGGTACATCTTAAAGACAAGAATGTTTAGCTACACGTCAGTATTTTCAAAAATGTAATACCCACAACAGGCCTGATGCTACTTCTTTACTGCTTGATGCGCTATTTATGCTAATTTACCACTAGCATAAGAGAGAAACATGTTATGTGAAGCATGCTCCAACACTGAAAGTGCTTGTTATTGAATACAAATAGTTAAATGCAGCATCTGTTCAGAAAAGCAGTTACCTATTGCTCCCAAGTCATCCACGTACGGGCTCTTTGCTCCCACAATGCCACCGAAGCATTCCTTCTGAGGGGCACAATAGGACTTATCCAGATGGGTCTTCCCATCGCTGTCTACCATACACCACTCACAGTCCAACACACCGAAGCAATCCCTGAAAATCAAAATCGAAAGACAACCATATTTACTTTCAGGTTCCAACACTTCTCGTTTGGCATAGCTCAGTCTATTTTAGAATCATGAGAGAGAGGGAGGCCAAAATCATCCATAAACCCTCACATGCGTAATGTTTGGCCACAAAAAACTTCTCATTAAAATGCTTGAGTACCACAAGGGAAGTTATACAGGGAAGCTGCATCTTCAGCATGCATCTTCCAAGGCTGTTTGCTTTGGTTTTTTCCTCCATCACTCAGCCTGAGCAAAAAGGAGAACTTCCTACTTCTAACTCCTCCAGTAAGACATTTCTCAGTGTGATGGAGTCTGACTATGGTTCCACCCTTTTTCTGCAGTCCTTTAGAAGATGGAAGAAAGGATTTGGGAAGTCTGGTCAGAGCATGGTATGTTCTAGCAATCTCAGTTCCCTGGAGACTGCTCATAACTAGCAAAAATAAGCCATCAAGCTTCTCTACATAATGCCAGGAGTAGAACAGAGAAGCAGGACACTAGAAGCTGACAAGCAGCTACCATCTCGCACGTGCTCCAAAGTCACCACCGCAAAAGTACTGTCTACTTTCTGTGAACACTTTAGTCCACGCGTTTCTCCAGAAGGCAGACAAGCATAGCCGCGCTATCCATTTTGCTAAGAGGAAGAATTCATTGTCCTTTCAACAGCAAATATTCCACTTGCACAACCCTCGGTTCTCAGAGTCACAAAGTGTGACGGAAAAGCCATTTGTTTGCTATTATGTGACTCAAATGGGAATACTGAGGTCTTCTGTTTCTGTGCTACAGCATAATGTCATCACTGGTGTGTGCTGTAATATCTCATTCTGGCATCATACTTCTGTTTTTTTTTCCTTCTCTGTTTTTTTCTTTAAAACATGTAAGGAAGAGCTATTTTCACTTAATTATTTCAAGAACAGAGTGTATTTTGAGGGATAGAGACCACCACTTTACCCGCTCTCTGTTCTCTGATTGCACTGAGTGTTAATACACTGTGGGAGAGCATCCTGGAGGCTCGGATCGATTGCTGTGAAAGTCATTGGCTCCTGATGAACTTCACAACTCGGATTCCTATATTGGGGCAAAAAGGAAAGCCTTGTATTATAAAAACAGTGAAAGCACAATCAATGAAAACCATCATTTTTACCTATTACGTATCATCTGCTTAATTATTCTAAAAATACTGTTTATTCTATCCTGTATCACCTGTAAGTTAGCATGAACAAGCAAGTAATTTTGTTAATTAACTTCTGTCACATGCTGTTCCATTAGAGGAGGTCTGTCCTCACCTGCTTTCAGCGTTAGTGAGGTTGCCGGTACATTCATTTACCTCCAGAGGGCACTCGCAAGGGCACTCACATTCGTTCTGTTCCATTCTTCAGGGGCAGAAAACAGAGAAAACGCATCAGACATTGCACCATGACTTTAACCCGACAGTGCAGCTCCGCAACAGCAGTTTGCCACGGAGAAGGCTGTTCAGTAACCTTTCTCCTTCCCCGTGGAACACAGGGATTGCTCTCCTCTGCACTGGGACTGAGGACAATGTCATAACAGAGCCTCTCTGAGCTGTTACCCAGCCCCTGAAATTTAAAAAGCAGACAACCCCTGGGCAAGTCTAAGCTCTAGATGCAAGGATCCTTCTTGCCAGTGCAACAAACATGTAAAGATGCTGGTGTAGGCAAAACCTCCTGCAAGCACCAGGATCACCTCAATGAAAAACTACGTCAATCCACGTAAGATCGTGGGTATTAATATGCCAGAACAAAGGGCCTGACCCACAGATAACTGCCCCTGAGAAACTGAATCTGTGGTGGTCTCTTAACATTGTCTACCCAAACATGTAAAAAACCAACTACCCTGTGTTTTATACGCTGACAATATGGCAAAGGATTAGAGGTAAGCTAAGTCACCATGCCTCTTACAAATAGCATAGGTAAAGTAACTATTTTGTTTTCACTTCAGTTTTGCACTGCATGTTTTCATTTAGCATATAAAATAAATGTGCTTTTATAAACCTTGGATCAAGAAAGAAGGAAGAAGTAAATGCCTGGACCGGCCCGCTCATTTCCAATCTCCTGCTCACCTGTGGCAGTTGAGGCAGAGTCTGTCTACCATACTGCAGGCACAGAAAGCAAGTGAATCGCAGGTCTCATTGACAATTCCCACAAAGGCGTTGGTGCCCGGGATTCTCGTCAGCCTGTACTTGGAGCAGTGACTGCCGTGCACAAGGTTTGTTAGATCACCCTAGGAAAAAACAAATAGTGTCAACGGTCTAACAAGAAACCTGGTGTTTTAGGGAGCTGAAGAAAAAAATACGCTTAGCTTGTAAACATTATGAGATGTGGCAGCAGTGTGGAGTCCGATATCCCACTGACAGCAGGTTACATTTCACTCCTTCACATCGCTCACCAACCTATCCCCACTGTGCCAGCCATCGGTTACGCCTGCAAAGAGGCTCCGCTCTGATGGGGAGACACCATCACGACTTGTTGAAAACTTCCTGGCACATGTACTATAAAAAAAAAAAAACACCACAGCTCTGTACAGCTGCGATCTGTTTGGTAGGCAGACTCATTCCTCATTCCTATTTGCATGCCACAATCTTAAGATTTTGCTCTGTCCCATACAATTTCCTTTACAGTAATACACTTTCTATTTTGCATTTCAAGGGTGGGGAAAATGTTTAAGCCTACCTGACATAAATCAACATATTCTGACATAACTTTCAAATATTTTTGATGCTTGTTTCCCACCTTCTCCTCCCAGTGATTGGAAAGTATCACCAACGACCCACGGGGAGCACAAAGCATTCAGGTCTTCAAAGACTGCAGTCTAGCAAATGATACTCTGTGAATGCTCATGTACACTGCACCAGTAAATGCATTTATTTGGATACCTAACTAAAAGATAAGTTACTAGAGAAGACCTTCACTACCTGTGTCACAGGAGGATGTGACACTGGTCAAAGTTGGAAGCCAGAGGTCAGGTCAGAGGATCCAAAGCAAAAATCCCAACTACTGCTGGAAAGTCCTCACCGAATGACAGAGAACTGCTTTTATTTTCATGATGCTGGATGAGGCTTTGCAGACATCAACCACAGTTGGCCAGCGATCACATCCATAATCCCTTGTATGTCAACTGACTCCTCTTGCAAGCACAGTTTGTGCAGTCCAGATCGCTCATTTTGTGTTTGGAGAGGGCGAACGGAGGCCAATCCACACGGAAGGCTGGCTTCCAGCCTCGTCTGCTGATCCTGGCACAGATCTGCGTTTCCACCAAAAGAAACCCAACCCAACCAAAGTACATTCAAAAGCAAAATAAAATAGAAAAACACACTTACCACTAAGCTGGTATTAAATTTATAAAACCGCTGAACTGTTCTGTCACTGAAGCTGTTGCAGAGGTTTTTCTTGACGAAGTTTGGGTGGTTCAGAATGTCATTTGCTACCAGAGGCTCCTAAATAAAAAAAGTAGGATTTTATGCCTTTGACATCAGACACAAACAACAGCTTCTCTACAGTTCTTACCACCTCAGAAATTAGAACAGGTAGGAATAAACTAAGAAAAAAAGGAGCCAGACCTTGTGCGTAATGTGCTGTTGCTCCACTGGTGCGTGTCCTTTGGGATCGATGAGGGTTGGGTGTGCCACAAGGTACCCTCTGTCCTCCATGATAAAGCACCTGCCCACAACAAACAAAGCGGAGAGCCTCCCATTAGACCTCCTTGGGCTTCAGAGAAATACGGTGAAATAAAATATGATCTTAAATTTACAGCTAGAGGAAGAATTTTTAAAGGCTTCCATTTATTAAAATAACAGGGCCATTAAACAAATCCGCTGCAAAATGTCTTTAAAGAATGTATTTGGTATTTCCCTGAAGCTTTTAAATCTGTTACTGTTACAGCAAGCCTGGACCATCAAGGACTTGAAAATTGAACTGATTAGAAAGAGAAAGGAAAACTCATCAGTGCATTGTCTTGTCTGATCAGGGAAGATCCAGAAATAAATGAAGCATAATGAACTTGGAAAGCTTTAGCAGTTATTAATCTACTCTGTTACCTAATTAAACAGAGATTTCACACTCTCCTTTAATGACCTCCCGCTTTAAGAATTCAATTTTAATGGGGAGATAAATCACCCCTGTTTCATTCTCAGTCTTCCCAATCTTTCCTCTCCCTTTTCAGCTCTTCCCATAAGTTTCCCGTGTGATCTCAGGGAAATGATGTCAGATCGGTGCCCCTATCTAGAAACCAGTGTGCGGTGAGGTTTTAATCCGTAATGTTTTCGCCATCTCCCGTTTCCATAGCCGCAGACAGCCGCGCTGGGGAAGGCAGAGGAGCAAGCGGCACCGGGGACGGCACAGCCTGCGCCAAGATCAAGAGAATCGGTGGCCACAGAAGGAAGACGGGAGGAGGTTAATGCGGCCACGCAATGCTCCCGAAGAGCTCAGCAGGGTAGCAGCCATGTCCTGGCACAGCCCTGGCCTCCCGCCTGGGGCCAGTGGACACTTCGGGCGGCTTTAAAGTCTGCGATTCCCATGGCAGTCTGCTATGTAAAGCTCTACCGACATCAGCTCAGGGAGGGAGAGAGCAGATATAATTTAAAGCAATCGGCACAGAATAGATGGGACTGTATACTTCAGGTATACAAAGGAGTCATGAAAACTTCTAGCTGTATTTTTTTTACTGCTCCAAACTGTTTGGGTTTTGCGTTAGAAATTCATGTAGTGATGTTGCATTTTCTCTTTTTTCTGAAAGATGCAATAGGAAACAGGAGAAAGAGTAGGCTTGTGATTACCCCAGAATGACTGCAGAGAGAAAAAGCTTAGTAGAGATACATTAAAAAAAGAACAAATGCCTGCCAGATAGTTAGAATAGTTGTCTCTTAGTACCTGCATGCTTTTACGCAGAGGCTGTAAGCATTAGATTTGGCTTCTACATTAGAACGGTCTAACAAAGCATTTAACAATATGCTTGAAATTCCTCATTTAGGGAACGTACAAACAGAATAAAGCATCTGACCCCTTTGATTAGTAATAGTTTTTAACTGGGGGGGAGGCAATACCGAACCAGAAATCCTGATTATTTTGTTTTATACACCATAAAATTTATAAAAACATACCCAAACCAAACCAGAAAAGAACTGGGAGGATGACAGAAAACCACTTCCCTTCCCAAATTTAAGGTTTAAAAACAAACAAAGAAACAACAACAATGACCAAACCATGTTATCAAGTTACTCCAGATCCAAACCAGAGTCTACCCCTGCCTCCCCCCCAACCCCATGATTTTTCAAAAAATGGTAAAGGAAAGAGGAACAATTAAGATGCACATAGGTCTAAATAAAATTAGATATTCCAGATGAAATCAGACATATTCTGACTAGTGCTGTGCTACCTATTTCTGAGAAAAATATAACAAAAGTATATTTTAATAATAATAGTTAAAATAACTAGAGATAATACAGCATTATTACATGCTCACAGTAACTAAATAGGCAAAGTGAAAACAAACAGAAGAGAATGGGAAGTGTGTTCATTTAATAAAGAATGTTTTTTTTCCCAGGATTTCAGTGAAGTCTAAATATAACAACAAAAAAATAATCAGTTATCTTCCTTTTTTTACTCCTGCAGCCTGTTTACTTAGCTGATGACAGTTTTGATCTTGAATAACAAAAAATTCCACGTAACCTTTATGAGAAGAACAAGCACAAATTTTAGTAGAAATCAGAGAACATACATTGAAAGTAACAGAATCCTAGAATAAGTTAAGTTGGAAAGTACCTCTGGGTCATTTGGTTAAAGGCAGGAAAAAAAAAAAAAAAAAAGGCTTTAGATATACATTGCCTGGAAGGAACAGCTTACCTTATTTTGTTTCCTCCGTCTTGGTTACAAACTGGCAGCAGGTCCATGAGAACTTTGTAGAAGTATCGCAGGGTGAAGTCAATGCCCATTACTGCCACTGAATGTCCTGAAGACATCTGTGCACTGCAAAGAGGGGAGGAAAAAAAAGGAAAAAGGCTTTCATGGCTGTATTAATTATTAATATTTTAATTACTCAGTTCCCTACATGAAAAGGGGACTGGCTTCCCTGGCATATAAAAGACCAGCTCAAATGCACACCTCCACACTGAAGCTCAGTTCACCCTGCTTGTCTTTAAATGAACAGTTATAGCAGCTGTAAACAGAGAGAACAGTGTCTTAACAGTGTTAGTTATTTGCTGCAAATCCTGAAGTCTTTTCACTTTAACTGCACTTCACGCAACCAGAACATGGAGGAGAGAGGAGACAGCCCAGCAAGGACTGGATCACACCCAGGAACCGACCCTTCTCCCCACGGGCTGTTCTCCCTCAGCAGTTACATACACCCCTACCACCTACACAGATTTAGTATTTAGCAACATAAATTAGGATTAAAAACTCCCCACCCTCACAAATGAATGCAGGACGCAGCTCCTGCATTTCTAGCACCCAAATCCCCACCGCCTCAGGGGGGATTTACATTCTGCACTGCTCCTCTTTGCTCAGCCCCCTGCTTTAGGACCTGAATATGAAGCTGCCATAGACATTTTGCTAAATCCCTACAATTCCAAAGTGTAGGAATGACTATGAATTTCAGCCAGAAATAAAAAGCTGGCCAAGGTACAAACATGAATGAGGTTACCTTGTACCAGGCAACCAGGTGGTATTTAGGTGCTGGTTAATGAGCACCGTGTTAAATGCTTCAAATCACATCCCGCTAACCTGTCAGTTATCCATGCTAGCTGGAGTTAAACAGGAGTAATTCATGTTAACATGACACTGCCTCCCACTGTCTATGGAGTGCCAAGTGACATTTAAAACTATATCACTTCATAAATGTTCTGATTCAGTATCTTCCCCCAGTGTAGGGCAACCATAAAATAAACATTTAGGGAAAGGGCAGAACCTGAAGTCTCTGTGGCTGCTCACCAGCACTGGCAGCAAGAGCTGCTGTGAATTGCAATATTTCGCCCATACTGAAAACGCGCTTGTGTTCCTATTTTTACACACCAGTTCGGGAATATACACAGTTGCCTTAGCAACCGATACATCAAAGACCGACAAAACAGTCTCAGGCAGATGTATGGAAGTGTATTTTCTTACAGCTCTATAAACGTAAAAAAGCGCTACTTTCACTTAGTCGTATCGTTTTAACTTTCCTCACCATCAGTGAAGCAATTGCAAGAGGTCTCCTGGCCCAAGCACGGTCTTGACATTTGCTGAGACTATTTGGATGCTGAAAGCTCCAAATAGAAATTATATTCTCTGTCCTGGCAAATTCCCACCTTCTCCTCAGGAGAAATATCCAGATACTCAAGACCTCCAGAATCAACGCACTTGAACTAAGGTGCAAATCCTCACTGGGCAGCTGGGCATCAGAGCAGCAAGGTTCTGGAACAAAAGCCTTTGAATATAATAATAGAGGCAAAAACCTAATATTTGCTAAGGTGGGTTATGAAAACAATTATATGATGCAGTGGTGTGCAGTAGCCTGAGGCTGGACCAAATGACCAGGGAATCCCTGGCGCTCCTAATTCTCAAAGATTGGTTCCTGCAGCACTGAGATGGCACAGCCAGACCAAGCTGCCTCTTGCCCCTGAAGGACACAAAACAATCCGCTCATCCTCAAATCACGGGGCATGCTATTTTGCACCTATGGGGGCTTTACGCTGATGACAAAGGAGATGAGTCTGACTTGCTACTTTTTAAAATTTACTCTTGTAAATAGAAATAAAACATTTAGAAAAAGAAGATAACTGAATGGCACAGCTGGACTATACAAAGTAAAAGCTGCTGGCAACCCCCCACCCATATAAAACTAACTCTGTTTACTGGACTGAAGTTTGTTTGCTTTTAAAGAGGTACAGTGAAGATGTAGTCAGATCTAATTTGTAGATTTATAAATACAGATTCTTAAAAACCTGCATTTAATTACTTTTAACATTATCCATTTCATGGAGAAGGAATGGGAAAAAGGATGACAGTGAAGCAGCCCAGATATATTTAACTGCATGTGACAAGGTATCAAGCTATGAAGTTACTGCTCTGACAAAAAGCCATTAGGAATGCTGTAAATATTTTAGCTTCGTTTTTAAGCATTAAATCCTTCTGGTTTGCTGATACAAGCTGTATTAAATAACTTCTTGCATGAATCTTCTATTCCCAGCTTCCAAAAAAGAAATGAGATATACATAAAATGGGAACGAGAGATAAGCATCCGTTCCAGATAAACTAGTGTTGTTATTTAAACCCACAGAGCAGTTTCTAATGCGAGTATGCCTATTAACTCTACTGATTCTTCCCCCATCTATTTTTTTTTAACTAAGACCTCTTTGGGGATTATAACCGCATGTGACTATAAGCTTTAGAGGTCATATTTACCCAAGAATCACACTCACATCTGCCAAACTTTGTTTAACTATTCTTTAATCATGTTCTAATAACCCACATGAGCTTTAAGTTCTTAAAGCTAACTAAACCATCTCTTACTAGATAAAAATCAGAATTTTGATTAATTGCACTTCTCTTCTTACAAAAGTGCTTATTTACCTTAAGTAAATTCCTCTGTGAGAAGCAACACGCAGGCATTACGCCTGATAATACTCCTGCCAAAAAAGACAGGCAGATGTCTTGTGGTGGGAAATCCCAAACAAAGCCGAGATGTCTCTGAGAAGAGTAGAAAAGCAGTGTCCCGAGCTCTGCTGGCTTTGTAATCTGTATTTACCAGCACAATGTTAGCAGTCACATTTGTACTGGTGGGCTATTAGATGGAGCATGCACAGAAGCCACGTGCTCAGTGCAAGTCTTGAAAGAGACTCCGTGTAAAAACCAAAATGATAACTTTACCATTTCTGAAACTCGGAAGAGCTTAAGCTAGGAAGGTTTAGTACATATTCTGTACACTGACCTCCTTTAAACAGCCTACATCTCAAGGCAAACCTCAGCCTTAGGCTGGGGGCCTGGCCAGGAGGGAGCTGAAACAAAAGAAGCCTGGTCCTCGAGGAAAGGGTCATTCCAGTACTGAGAAGAGGTTCACAGAGAGACTGACTCCACTTCTCCTGGTGGTAATATTAACTGTACTGAGAATAAAGAAAACACTGAGAGTCTCTTGATCAACTTTGAATGAAGATACATTAGAATTTCCCCTTTCCTTTTTTTTAAGCCATAGAAGCCTAGTTAGTAAAGAAAATGCTTCTTCCTCTAAGGCTATGATACTCATTTTGGTTTTGACCCCAAAGGCACAGGATGCTGTTTCCACTCTGATTTGTTTTCTGCAATCCTGTGAGGGCAGTTGAAGGTTTACAGGCTTCTCCTCAAGTTCTTCTTACTCCTGAAAGCCCCTGTCCAGAACTGCTGAATTTAAACAGCCCAGGCGAGGAGCTCCCCCAACTCCTGGAGTACGGACAGAGCTTTAATTAAACAGCCTTGCAGGCTGACCTCCATTTGCAGTTAGGTAGATCCGCTTTCACCTCTTACTCCCTTCTGAACATCACCCTGGTACATACAACTTCAGAAGCATAAGTGTGAGTAACTTCAGGAAATTTAGAGATTAACTGTCTTGATGAAAAAGTATTTGACTACCAGCAGAAAGGGAACATATCCCAGACTGCCTAACGAAAGTGATCCCTCTCCTCCTCTCAGGTCCTTGTCTTGCATACATGACATCTCATCCCTTGTTCATCCAGGAGCACACTCTCACCAATCGATCTTTTTTTCTATATGCTGTTATTATTTGTATATCGATAAAGCTACAGAATATAAACCTACTCATATAACATGGATTTTTCACATTTTTTCAGTATACTATTTCCATTGAATCTACACAAGGCTATATTACATTTCAACAAAAGCACTTTTAAAAACAGATTTGGTTTTCAGTTCTTGAACATGTAGGAGTCGCTCAGCATATTTCTCTTCTAACCAAAGCACATCTTGATAATTAAGAGTATTCTTGCTTGACACAAACCTGAAAACACCATTTACCTGGAAGAATGGACTGTGTGACTGATCGTAACGACGTAGCCTGCCCCTCCAACATCTAAGTAGGGACCAGTAAAGGTAATTAGTCCTGGATTAGCCACTGCATGCAAGTACCTAAGGGAAGCCAAAAGAAACACTCCTAATTAGTGAAAAAGGGTTACTGTAAAGACAACATTAAATTCTGCACACTGCGAACAACATGCTACCAAAGTAATGTTTCTTAATATTAAACAAGTACCTAAGCATGATTAGGACCCAGACCAAAACCAGACTAGCTCAATAAATGGTTCCTCAGTACATACAACTGCATTAAAAAAACCTCAATTTACTTCTGCATAGAATACGTTTAGTCTAATTTTAAACATTTTTCCCCAGAACAACATATGACACAGTGCCAGCAGAGTCTCAAACTCAAAGCAAACACTGGCAAAATCATTGTGTTGCAAATGCAAGAGAAAGGATGTCCTGTAGGCAGAATTCACACATGAAAATCTGGAAAGATGTCAGAAAGTGATTACAATTACAATCTCTTCTAAAACTTACTGTCAACATAAAATGAGCCACAATCATGTCAAATATTTTCCTACTGTCATAAGAAAGTTTATAAAACATTCCAACTGTTGGAAACACTTTTGTGTATGAAATATCTATTACTCAGCTTTCCCCCACTCCAGTATATATACTAACCCGTGAGTCTGGACCGCACTGTGCAAGTGACAGAATTCTACTTTATTATTAGTGCTTTGCTTGCATCTTCTTTCCAAAACACTGCCATTTGGCTTTATATAAAAAACAAGACACTATGGCATGCTGCATATGGAGGCTTTTTCAAAACCATGGTTTACGAAAATCAGTGAAGTGTAAAAGCAAAAAAAAAAAAAAAACCCTCCCAAAACCAATCCCGAAAATAATTTGAGGGCTTTTAAAATGGAGGCAAGGGAGTGTAGAAGTGCATTCAGTTAATTTACAACATGAATGCCCCGTTTATCTCACTACAAAAAAAGAGAGCAAAATTCCATCATCTGATGTCAGCAAAAACATAAATAACAACAAAAATGAAGAAAACCTGAAGAAAAGCTAATCAGTAGCTACGGTAATGATTTTTTCCAGGCAAAACATGGGTCAGGAGAGCTACGGCACAGCCAGCGCCAGAAGGAATTCAGAGCCTTCGCCGTACAGCTGGAGGTTTGGGACCCGGCGCTGGCTCGTGCCTTTACCAGCATCACGGTGCGGCAGGACCTGGCTGGCTCCTTTCAACAAAACACACAAGTCAAAACACACTCCAGAGTGCTCTCAGGTCTCAGGCTCACTCTCATTTGTAATGTATACAAATATTTTTCCCAAATCAGCTGCTAGTGCATAATTAATAGCGCACAGTCCAGCCAGCAAATTTCTACTTTAAATTAGCGAGGAAACCCGCTGTAAACAAACAGGAAGACTAAAATATTAACAACCAAAAATGGCACAAGGATCTGAAAACGCTCTCGAATTAGCTAATCCCTAAAGGGGATGCTCATTTTCTGAATATTTATATTCCCATCTGCCATAGCAGGGATATGAAACAGAAACGATCGCTTAAAATAAAAAGGGTTGAAATTGGAACCATAAAGGTTTTAACTAGCTGTATTTAAGCACCAAGTCTTTTACCCACAATGAAAACATTTCTAGTTAAATAGTTTATTAGCTGGCTGTAAAAAAACCCAGGCTATAAAATCGATACCAAATATTTTCCTTATTGCCCTCCAAGATTATCCAAAGCTTTGATAACAGGACCCTAAAAACTCACCATTGTCTCCTGGTGGGATCAAATGCTTTGTCCATGAGGGAACCGGGGTAAATTCGGAGCACCCCATTGGGGGTTGCTATGTAACGGCGCACAATATAACTGTTCAGGCTACTCATTTCCATTTGTGTCATCCATTCATCTGTGACGTGACTGGTAGCCATTACTTCATTTCTGACAGAGAACTGCAAAACAAAGGCGGACCTAGCAGGGTTCCTCTAAGACTTGCATGAAAAGATAATAAGCTGCTCGCGGGGTTTCCTAAAGAGCGATCGGAGATCATCTAAACTCAATTACTTGTTTAAAGTCTTCTCACACCAGACGGATCTGGCACATTCCAAGCAAAGGAAAAGCTTATTATAATGAAATACTGTTGTCGTTATCTCTGCAGCTTTTAGAGTTCACTGTTTTACTTCACGTAAACATAAATACTGTTCCGCTTGCATACAAAATAGGAATTTCTCATTTATATGCCAAAGAACACAAAGATATTTCCGCTAAGAATTCACTGTAGCTTTAATTTTTCTAGTGTTTACTTCAATAGCTGCTTATCACCCTTTTTCCCTGCCTCTTGGGGAGGAAGCCCTCTCCCTCCTCTCTCCACTCTTCTGGGCCTTGAAGCCCTTGGCCACCTCTCCAGGCATGGGAATACCACTCCAAACCACTGCTCCATAACCCTATGAGCATCAGGAGATCGACGTTTCAGGTACTGCCCTCCTGGATGAAGCCGTGGGACGTGAGGAAAGCAGGGTCTCCAGGGCTGACCAGAGCACCGAGGACGTACCTTAAGGCCAGGATTGGCAATCAGGCGCGTGTTGTCACTGAGGTACGCTGTGTAATGCTCCACCATCCGCTTCGTTTCGGGCTGGCTGAGATGTTCGTATGGAGAAGAGAAGCTGCCCGCAGAGAGCATTACCGTAGGGCTTTCTAAAAATAGCAAAATACGAGAAAGTTAAGGACAATGAATTGCACATATCGCATAGTAAAGACATTTGTACCACAAAAGGGTATCTGACATGGTGTCCTGGCTGAGGATGCGTGGAAGGAATTACACTGACACATTGTCCACTCCTCTGCCTGTTCCTCCGCTCTCCCACACTTCAGTATGCAAAGTGCACTGCTCCTTCAGGTCATGGGTGGACTGGGAGTGAGGGCAGGAAACATGAAGTTTTCCACCCAAACCAGAGCACTTACCAGCACAGCTGGCAACCCCAGGCACTGACAAAACTTAGGTTGCACATGAACTACCTTTCTTGCATCAAAATACAGAAGTCTGAAAGTTAGTCCACTTACTCTGATCTCTGTGTGTTATTTGGTAGACTTTAGTGCCCTTGTTCTCCAAGTCTAAACAATTTCTGAATTGCTACTTTTTGAAAGATTACAAAAGCTGTTTTCTCTTAAGAAAAGATTTTGTGCTAAAGAAGAAGAAATCTATTATCCACGTTTCCGTTAGATACAGCAGAGGAAAATGAAAACGAGCACTTTCAGTTACAGATAATGAACAACTGGAGAATTACAAGCGCAGAAGAGGGAGCTTACCAATAAAAGCGTAGCTGTCTGGGGTGATTTTCAGAACAGACTAGAAAGTAAACTTTCACTGTGCAGAAACTGCAATACCAGACAGCTTTTTCTTTTTAAAAAGAAAAACCATTATGATGATGCAGGGCTGAAGGTTAAGAAGAACGCCTTTTCTGAATATCTGACCCATGGAACCCAATTTCCCCATGTGTAATGGTCTCCAGAGGAAAAATTTCACTGGAGTATGTGAAGTGTTCTGCTTTTATTCACATTCCTCTAAAACACATCACCATACATCCAGCAACCATATGTACTGCAGTCATCACTTATGAGCTTCTATTATAGTCCTTCATCTGCTTCCCAGACCAAATATTCTGATGTGATTGCATTTTGCTTTGCATGAAGTTTTTCCACTTGTCAGCTTAGTACTGCATTTTTCTGGATATTTTCCATTTATGTCTTGTCTTTCTGGATATAAGATAATCAAGACTAGGCACCACATTAAAGAAAGAAAAAACCCTGCATTTTAAACAATTGGCAAAGCAATTTCCATAGATTTGTCAAGTTCCTCCATAACTCCTCCAGTCTAATCTCACTTAGCTATTTGTGGAACTGCAATATAACTAAGAAAATTTCACAACTATGCCGCTAATCCACCATGAGACCTTCAAACCTTGCTACAAACAAAAAGCACTTAATTCAGAATTTCTTATAATGTTGCACAGATTTTAGCAAAACCCCCAAGATTAATACTTAAATATGAAAGCTTACAACTTATGATGCTTATACAAAAAAGCCTTTATGTTCTTAGGATGTATTATGTTTTTTAAGTTCTCTATCCTTTCCAGACACTAGGACTTAGACTGCCATGGAGACTACCCCTCTTTCCAGAAATGTTTGAGCAACTACTGAAATTAGTCAGGTAGAGCAGAATCAGTTTAGCTTATTAAAAGCAGGAATGTGTCAGTAACCTGAGAATTTTTAAGTAGGTAAGGAGGGTCTGGAAACCATCAGACCACCGAAGTTCTCAGTTTCCCCCAACAGACTTAACTTCTGACTTCACATGGACCGATGGTATTAAATGCTTATGGCAGTGAAAAAACTTGCATAAATCCAAAGTAAAAAGAATAGTAGTCCTACATGACTCGCTGGGACTTCATCCTACTTATGTTATCTGTCAATAAGCTACTTTACAGCCAAGAGAACAGAACTTTGTTTTCAGCTTGGTGAGACAGCTCTCACTCTCCCCACTGCACTTTCTGGGAACTTGATCAAGCAAGACTCACGGTGCATTTATGTCGTACTCTGACGAGCAGTCCCACTGCGTTCATCCATGCAAGCGCTTGCCATTGAGCAGGGGAGCTATGATCAATGAAGGGCTATAAAAAGGTAACGGCTGATTAGAAAATCAGCCTTGGAAATAAAAGCCTCTCAAGAGGAGAGTATTTCCAGTGTTTTCTGAGATGAGTTTTACTTTCTGCTGGTACACTCTATAGAAACATGTATGAGGTGATCAAGACGAACTGCAAGAAAGCTTTACCTAAGGTAGCCAGCTGCTTGAAGTGCAGGCAGGCGTTTGGCTGGCCCAGCAGATCCAGTCGATGATACAGGAGCTTGCTGCTGGGGACAGTGTTGAGATTCTTCAGCTGTTTAACAGGTATTTCTGGCTGTATTACCACGACACACAGAATAAAGGATGTGTCCTGGACCTGAAAAACACGGGCAAGTCATCAAACAGAAACGAAAAGGTGGAGGAGTTACAGAACTTATTTTCTATTTAGCATTCATTCTCTTTTCTTTAATTGCTCATCTCGTCCAGTTCTGGAAGGCAGCACCACACTTCACCATACTCAAGGATCACAGTTCCCACTCTCTCTGAAAACAGACAGCTCCTTTTCAAAGAAGCTAATATGGGCTTGTTCCTACAGAAAACAGAGAGAAGGATTGTGCTCAAGCCATATTGGTCTCCATGCAGGATAGAGACACTTGTCTTCAGCAGTCTGATTACTGCAACTCAGTCCCATACAGCCCCATCCCAGTCTGTAATCATCTTGTATGTACTGGAACCACTAAGTTGTACAAAAAATACTTTTCCACAGTCTATGCAGAAAATAAAAATATTTCATTTTCAGGAAAAAAGCTTACATTAAGACCTTCATTTTGTTGCTCAATTAGCAATAATTTCTAACACTCTTTCGTGGATACTTTTTGAAGTGCTATTAACAGAGCAGAGGCTTCAGGTTCACAGTTGATAAAAACACACTGGTATTCCCCTTATGAAAAATACAGACAAATTAACTCTAGAAAATAAGATTGTATCATTACCACTCTTAGTTGTGTGCTGCATGTGTCACATGCTTTACTGGTTTGTATATTTTAAGTATCCTATAGTACATCAGACTAGCAAAACTTGGAGTTGCCCAGCTGCTCTGTAAGGGTGTTTGATATTTAATGTAGCATTACAACATTAGAAAATTAGCTCCAGACACCCTCCTATGTGAATTTCTGTTACACAATGACAGATTTAATCTCTTAAATCTGCTCAGCTTAATCTTTTAGGTTGGATTTAACTTAATACTGTGAAATGATCCACAAGTACCCTCTTCAGTTTGTTGGCACAAAAAAGTAGCCAATTATTTCTGGCATCAGTGAAATTCACCTGGATTATATTTAACCTTAGATTCCATTTTAATCCCTGGGTCAAGATTAGCGTTCAGATACGTTCAAAACTGAAGAAAGGAAGACAGCTGCTAGAAGCGCTCTTGAAGCTCTTACAACTGGTAATATAGCCTGTTGCATACACATCGTACCCAGTTTCAATGAAAGCTTCAACATAACTAGTGTTTGTAAGAAAAGTGTTAAATTACAGGAAACATCACTGGCTACTGATACAGTTCTGCAACAAGATAGTATCAGAATGAGAAGCTGACATTTTCCCAACTGTATTAATTAATGGATCGTTACTCTGCCCCAAACATAACAACAGTATTAAGCAAAAGAATGACTTAATACCAAACACTGCCTCAGCACTGTATTCAAACGTGGTCTCTGGTAGGTATATACGTGTCACCTGGCTTGCAGTATGACATCCAGACCAGCATAGATTTACTTCCATTAGGAAAGCAGGAGTATAATCTCTATGTAACTCTACATTACATATCTCTTACAAAATGAGTGCCTTCATGAAGGAAAAGCACACACATATCCATACAGATACATCTCAGAAGATGACATGCTAACAAACCTGAAATGGTAATTTCATTGGTTCTTCACTGTAAGAAAAAACCTCTACATTCATGCAGTTTCTGAGTAATTCAAACATTTCATACTTCAGTATATAGCAATACTTCATGCTTCACTATATTTAATACATTTGTGTACTCTTCAATATAGGAACTTACTCTATGCCACCCTGCAACAGTGTCACTAAGTCCTTACCATCTTCCAGGCGTAGCTGACATTGTAGGCTTCTTTTCCAACTTCTCTCAGTTTGTTTACATGCCAAGACAGTGAGGAATTCACAGGAACTGTAATGATCTGGCTGCCCAGGGGAATGCTATATTGGCAGATATAACATACAGAATTTTATTAAACACTGAGAAAGCTCTTAAGCAAAACCCATCTACTGTACATTTATAAAAATATCATACAATATTAAAAGATTAACTGTTATCCATCTTAGGTGAAGAAAAAGTGGATGTACGCTGAAAATGCACTTGTGTACTGACACATTTTGAGTTAAAACACATAGTCAGGTAAGACAAAGGCTAAAGAAAAACCCAGACCAAATAGTGGAAAACCTTCCTGACATGGAAGCGAGACATTAGCAAGAGTATCCCCCAGATCAGCTATGAAAACCCACTGCTTAGCACACCAAATGATAAATGAAGAAAGCTGGAGGAAAAAACAAACCAGAAGTGTTCTGCGTTTGGAGGAGGGGTGGGGGGAAACAAAAATCCATCCGAGTATCCAGATACTGTAGGAAAAGGAACTTCACCTTAAATTCTCTTAAAACTCCTCTAGAAATACTTCTAGTGCCCTAAGGACTACTAGCGTTTGGACACGCATCCTGATTCCTTACCTAAGGATGTTCTGACGCACCAGCTCAAATCTAGGAATGTTCTCATAATGGATAATATCTGTGTGGAGCGGTGGTTCAGACAGCAAGTAGGGCCTGGTAAGGGATGGGTGCATAAGAGTGTATCCTAAAAAATAAAGACACAAAACCAGACACTGAATGCATTATAACAACTGAGTCCAGGATTAATATTTACAGAAAAAAAAAGAATGTAGTAACTACATGCAATTTTTACAAAGGCTTAACAAAAGTGAAGAAGAAATATTATCAAAGAAGCTGCAAACTAAGAACTTGGTAAGTTGCAAATGAAAGACAGCTCAAAGAACCAAGCAATAAAGAGAGGCTGGGATCAGAGGAAAAGAGCTGAACACACATATAACAACACCAGTTTTGCCTTTTGACCTGCACATAGAAAACCTCAGGTGTTAAACATGTAGAAAATCTCAGCAGCAAGTAAGCATTTCCACATCAAAACTCCAGTACAGACATTTCAAGTCATGAATCCACCTACAGTCTCAGCAACTCTCAGGCAAAACTAACCAAACAACACGCAATTAATCTTTTAATAAGTACTATCATTCATTACTTACAGACTATTCAGAGACATGAGGATTAAGAGTTTCCTTTTGATGGTTAATGATCTCAGTGGGACTAGAAGAGATTATCTGAGCCAAAAAGTTACCTTTATTATCAATGAGGAAAGTGTATGAACCCAAGGAGTCTTGATAATAGGTGACATCTTCCAAGATATATGCGAGATTAACATCTACTCCAACAATCCCTAGCAGCAGGTTTCCAAAGTAACACGGTTTACTTACAGTCATTATCAGACCTTAGAATGAGAGAAGTAACATCAAACCATCAGCAATAATATCTAGTTAATTATTTTTAGCAGAAACAGAGCATGCTCTTTACAATTTCAAAATGTTATACAGTTAAATTTTTTATAGTATTCCTTGCTGGGATAAGGACAAAAATTGGCACACCTACAGGGAAGATGAGCAGGTTATCTGGCATGTCTGGCTGTTAGCCACTCTCCCTAATTAGTTAATTTCTATGTTTCTGCTAGTGACCTAAGGTACATTTAATCAATTTATTAAAATACACACCACAATTAATGTTTTGGGAGTTTTGTCAGTCTGCAAGTAGATGCCTTACAGATAAGAAATGCATTTGCATGAGAAGCCAAGGTAGTATTTTGTTCCTTTAACATCATTTAAGGCAATTTAAAAAATAGGGGGAGGAAGGAGGAAGAGAATTTGTACTTGTAAAGCAACAACAGGGATGAATTATTGCTCATCTAATTGCATATTCAGAATATGAAACCTCTGCTTAACTAAATCCCAGTATGGCCACTTGTACTGGGAATCATACCCCTAATTACACAATGGTTTGGGATGCATCTTGTACCTGAGGTAAGAACTCTCAGTAATACCTTATTTCTCTTACCTTCTACACCATTGCTATTTGGAAACTCAGCAACTCTTTTCCTTCAAACCAATATAAAATTCATTTGCATGTATAAGCTTTTAAGTACACCTTGAAATTTATGTAAGACTAACCTTCTCTATTGCACCATTTCTAATCCTTCTGTTGCTCAAATTTTCCGAATTATGCTTGGATATAGCTTTGTCAGAGAGCAATAATACAGCTTAATTACCAAGGTTAGGAAATGCAGAAAGTAGCAAGCATTCTGACTCAGAAGAGATTTGGTCAGGCATAGTCTTAAATTTGTTTTGGGACTCAACACACAAGGCAAACGTGCAACCTAAACTCAGCAGCCCTTGAAAACTATTCAGCATAACCCTCAACTACTCCTATGTACCAACTGAGACTAAGAATATGCAAAGTCCTGAATGAAGAAATAGAGAATTTGCTCAATTGTCAAAGCAATATAAAATCACCAATGTATTTCCTAACATCACTGTGACGGTCACATCCCTTTACAGAGCACTGGAGCAGTGCTAGAGAAATGTCAGGTGAGCTGCCCAAGAACCAGCAGGCATAAACCCTACAACTCTGACATTCCAAGTGTGTACACTGAGCTTTAGGAAGGGCACCAGATCCCAAAGGTAAAAGGAGAAGCAGCACTGCAGCTCACAACTAATGATGCTTAAGCAAGTATTAGCTCAGGCAGTGGGTGTGTGTCCAGCTGGGAGAGCTTTGCCAGCACTGCGGGAGCAGCCTAAGCCCGCTCCCTACCTCCTGAACCTGCCCCTGGCAAGAACCCCAAAAAAAGATCACCCTGCAGTGCATGCTTACCCTGAGCACAAATGGAACTCTCCGATTTCTGCATTTCTTACATGTGTCATCTCACATGCATGCTGGTGCGCTCCCAGAAGTCTCTATCAATATCTACACCTTCAGTCTCTCCATTACTGGATGTAGTGGCAAATCAGATCAAGTTGAACACACAGGTTTTGCTAACATGGCATCTAATTTTAAGGTAAAAGGGAAGATCCATGCACCTTCCCACCACATCAGCATAAATTAGGAACTGATGGGAGAACCAGACTACAGACATCTGCTGCGTTAAGATATTCTTCAGGATGCATTCACAGTCTGGAGAAAAACTGTCACTAGGCTTCTACTAAATTCGGTGTATCACTCACTCCAGACTGGCCAGGCAATCACCAGCCAGCTCAAGGCTTCCTCTTCTGCCCAGCGCTGGGGGCAGATCAAGTGTGCTGAAGCTAAAGGAAGAACTAAGGATAGCAAATTTTAGACAATAATTAATAAACTCTCTTTATGCCATTTGCTAAGCTGGTTGCCTTCCCCCTCTCACCGAGGTCTGACTGCCAGCGTCCAGCATCCCCATCTTCACAGCCCGGCAGCATGGAATGGATACTGAACTAGTTGTGAAGAGCCACTGCTTGGGGTGCAAAGACAGAAAAAAGGAAACTCCAGCAGGAAGGATGACTCAAAAGTCACATCCATGGCTCCACAGGAAAGGGAGGCTCAAACGATAGTTAACTTTTTCTATCTTCCACTGTAGGGACTTATGCAGTCCCTTGAGTCTACCTGTAAGGCCTCAAGACATACAGAAGTACTGATATAATGAACCCTGCAATGGTGCAGCATGGAGATGGCTGTCATTTCAACGTGACAAGATTGCTTCCCTCAAGTACAAAGAACTTCTCTCCACAAATTAAATTATGGATGCTATACATGTACACATACGTAAGAACAAATTTCACCCCCAAGAATCCAACCTAAATTGATCTACTCCATGTCTTATTACCACTTTTCTCATAACTAGACCTTCTGCAGATAAAAAACCTGCTGGCATGAAAGGCTAATTTTATATTTGCCTTGGGAACACACCTAAAAACATCATCTTATAAGACTATATTTGAGAATACATAAGCAAAGGGAACCTAATCTCTTTCGTTTTTATACCTAAATTCAATGTAAGCACTTACCGTCTCCCATTTCATCTGAGAAAGGCAGACTGAAGACTGCCTCATCGATCATTCGGTTGGGGAGGTTTGTATAGAATCGGCCAACTGTAGTTTCCAGGTTACTCAGCTGGTTTAGGACCATCATGCTTCCCTTGATGACAGGTAGGGCTGTTCGGTCCGGCACCCCGTACTTTACCGAGTTCTGCTCTGCCAGGTCTCGCAGAAAGGCTAGTTCCTTCAAACCTGTCACTCCCTCTGAAACAGAGATGCAAGACATAGAAAGAAGGAGATACAAGAAGCTTAATTTCCATCAAGACTTCAGTATCTTACTCCAAAGTACTGTAAATAAAAGCAAAACGATACACACGCTATACTGTAGGACTGAATATACTATAGGCTTATTTAAGTGTTAAGGTAAAGTGATGAAAGACTAGTATGGTTTTTGGAAAAGTAGTTAGCTAGTACAAAAATTTAGTAAGATTGCCTCTCACATACTGTTACACGGTGCAAAAATTTAACATGCTGTTCACATCACCACTTTAAACAAAGATCTTTTAACAAAGACTTATGTGACCCATAAATCCACAGGACAGCTCTTTGTTCTCCACTGGTGGCTAGTCCACATAAAGGACCAGGAGCATATTATACGCCCTTGGAGATAACAGGCTTTGTTCTTTAGCTTAAACATTAAAAGTTTCACATTTTACACAAGTCCCAGGCTCAATTCCTGCAGACAAATCAAAGACTTTCGTACATATTAGGTCTCAAATGAGTATTTAAATTTACAGTCAAACGATACATTAGCTTAAGCATTAGTTTCCTTGGCTAGAGCCTGTGTGCAATATTTAGTAACACAACATACAGCCTTCTTACTGAAAATGCTTTGTTGGAAAAAGCACAGGATGCCAAACTACTGTGTGCATGATCTTCACATTTAACTTCACTCTTAAGCTGGGTCCTAAATTCTCAAAGCATTTCAGATTACGTTTGATGTTACAATCATGCTCCTTAGCTAATGACTGAAACAGAAGTCACGTATACTCTCATTTTGCTGCACCAGGAAACAGGGGCAGCGTCAGGAAGGTTTACAGTTGCAATAGTTAGAAAACTTAATTCAGTCTGGTTGCCACTAGACAATTCAGGCAACAACACTTTATATCCTGAGCAGCTGCATTGTGATATATAAGCATATAGTGGCATACAGTTTTATATACAAAAGATTTAACATCTGGATGCAGCCTCTGGGTTACGTGGGCCAAAATCCATTAACAAACTGCTCCCAATAAGGCGTGGAATTACATTTGGATGAGCTTAATAAACTAGCTGTACAATTGTCCTGGTTTCAGCTGGGATGTAGTTAGCTGTCTTCCTAGTAGCTGGTACAGTGCTATGTTTTGAGTTCAGTATGTGAAGAATGTTGATAACACTGATGTTTTCAGTTGTTGCTCAGTAGTGTTTAGACTACAGTCAAGGATTTTTCAGCTTCTCATGCCCAGCCAGGGCACCTGACCCAAACCGGCCAACAGTGTATTCCATACCATGTGACGTCCCATCTAGTTTAGGAACTGGGAAGTGGGGGGGCGCAGGGATTCGCCGCTTGGGGACTGGCTGGGTGTCGGTCAGCGGGTGGTGAGCAATTGCCCTGCGCATCATTTGTACATTTCAATCCTTTTATTACTACTGTTGTCATTTTATTAGTGTTATCATTATTAGTCTCTTCTTTTCTGTTCTATTAAATCGTTCTTATCTCAACCCAGGAGTTTTACTTCTTTTCCTGATTTTCTCCCCCATCCCACTGGATGGGGGGGGAGTGAGTGAGCGGCTGCGTGGTGCTTAGTTGCTGGCTGGGGTTAAACCACGACAACAATGAAAGGGAATTTTCATCCACTGGAAACACAAAAACATTTCTCACCATTCATAAGTGCGTAAGTAAGAATCATTACTGAGTTATTGAGGAAACTATTTTCTTCGTTGATGACACGTAGAGTAGCTTTTTTATCATCTTCCGAGGAATCTTTTGATGTAATCCCAGCCGAGAGATAAATTATGACCATATCGGTATCTAAAAAGAATTACATATATATAGCAGAAAGCGCATTAGATTTTTAACTCAGGAAAGCCATGCGGTAAGAGCCCTTATATCTGCTTATGACCATATATTGCCAACAGCTTCATTTGTGAGATTCACAGGAATCTACAGTGGACAAACACACTGCAGACTTATGAATTATATTATTCATTATTAAACTTCCATTCATAACATTTAACAAACATCTGTTTGATTCAGTGCCTACCAGCCACCCAGAAGCACCGTGGCTTGTTTCTCCTGAGCAGACCTCACAGGCACCTTCTGGCCCGGCTGCAACCAGGCAGGACCGCACAAGACCAGCATGCAGCGCACCACAGAAGCCGCTCTAACTCCATGGAGAGGGCTTAACAAAAGAGAAAAACCTCCAAGTTTTGTCTCCTGACTCGCTGTTTTTCTCCCCTCGTGCAATTCTATAGAGTGGAGCCGGGCTGTGTCCTAGGGGAGCATCCGATTGTATTTCCTACATGAAAAGCGCATGCTGCTTTCCCAGCCATTGCTGCCGCAAGAGCTGTGCAGGGGGCTTGGCATCACTGTTGATGCCGATCACGGGGCCCTCCTCATCCTCCCTTCCAGTAAGGTTTGGCCGTGCCATCAACCCCTGCTGTAGCATGGCAGCGGGCACCGCAACGGCCGTACATGAAAGACAAAATCCCTGTAAAAGACCTTTTCACCCACTCCTCCTCCTCCTCCGTGCCTGCGTTAGCACCGCTGCAATTTAGTCCCTGACTTGCAGCGCAATAGCTGGAGGACGTCGCGGGATGAAAGACGCCTGACGCTTTCCTACGGTGTGGGTTAGAGCGTAACGCTTGAGAAATGTGATACGGCACACCACCATTCATCATCGGCTCATTTCGCATGAAGTTGGAACACGTTTTTCCAGCTGAGTGTTCTTGGCGAAAGGCCTGCCTCAACGCCTTTGAACACGTAAATTCACATCACTGCTTACATACCAACCTGTTTCATCATATTATATCTCAGTATTAAAAGTGTTTTATGCATACAATTAAGACACTTGTAGGGATTATACACCAGTATATTATCTGGAGAACATGAGGTTAGTTGGTTATAAACCAACTTTGTTGTCTCATCTAGTGTTTTTTGTGGTTTTGCTGTGTTTTTTTTTTAAATAGGTATGAATGCTTTGGCTTCTACTTTTTGTCATCATGACCTGAAAAGATTTTTAGCCAGAACTGGCTTTTGATACAAACAAGTAAGAGCAGCTGTTAATTTGGGGGGAATTTCTGCCCCCCCTTTTTTTTTAGAAGCTAAAACTAGGAAAAAAAGTAAAGCCAGGTATTAATACAGCTTTGGCTGTAATTTAAGGAAAATTATTAATGTGTTTCCTAGGCTATAGCATAGTTATTATATACCGCAGCCAGATATGATGCTGCAGTCTAAAAGCTTTGCTAGCAGAAGTAACGTAAGACAGTCCTAAGTCTGCATTAGGGACCAGTGCTAAACAGGGCATCTTATCATTCAATAGCTGATCATCCTATACTATTTGATAAACTACACTTCTGACAGTTGGAAAAGACCCTTATATTCAGTGTACCATTACTGCATTTATCTATCTATCTTTAGTGTGTGCATGTATATAATATATATAGTTACACTGCAATTTTATATATGTATATACACAGGCACACCCCCCCCCTACCTATTTACCTAGAGTTTTCAAGAATTGTTGGTACTCAGTGGCAGAGCATTTTCTTACACTTTGGGATGAGGGTCTGCTGAACAGGACTGCAATAGGAACCAGCATAAAGCAGGAAATTTAGACATGTTCAAAGGCACAATTCTTCCATCTCACACCAGTAACTCCCTTCTAACTTTTCCAGTGCAAATTCGGGAGCGAGGCTGTATCTCAATAGCTTCCCTGACACACCCACACATTGTTCTCCGGGAACAGGATGTCAGAAAATTAACAGTGAAATGAATGATTTTTTTTTTCTAGGTTTATTTTTCTTTTTTAAAAAAGATGAAAAGATTATTTACAAGAAAATGAGACATGTTTTATAAACATCCTCTTCTCAAACCTATTGTGTCTCACCCTATGAATTCTGAAATTTGCCATATACACATGAGGTCTTCAAAATCTTTCACACTTAGAGAAAACCTATATCTAAAGCATTTGCCTTTTCTTTTAACTTTCTGTACTTGTGCCCCAAAATAATTGTTTGGCATGAAACCTAGTAAAAGTACGTGTTTTCACATTAACGATGAACATGCCAAAACCTTCTAATCCTAATATACAAACAGTGCCAAACATAAAAGATATGTAGGAGGATGGTGCAAGACTCTACAGCTGATGTTCTTGGAATAACTATTGATGACTAATGCATCTTATCCGAGCCAGCTTCAGCAGCACTGGATTTTTTATTTTCTATAAAGTTGCACCCCTTTCATAATTTTGCCAGAGGATGGTAAAAACCTGCCCTTGACCACCCCATCTTTCAGCTAAGCAGCGTACAGTCAGATACATGTTTCACTGTATCTATGGCCTGAAGTTCAGAAGTTGTCTGAACCTTTAACAGCAAAAGCACTATCTTATAAACCAAAGGAGCAGCACACTTCCTTAGTCCTTTCAAAGCACCTTCACTCCTGGACTTTTCTTTTTCACCTTCTTCTGTTCTGAGCTGGTGCCCATCAGGACGATGAAGAATTTGCACTCATTGGAGCAGGCACAGGACCAAGCTATGGGATTTGCATTACATAAATTGACTAAATCGGTCTGCTTTCTCCACCCTGCCACAGCATTGGCAACATTCTCTACTCCAACGAGCACTTGGAGTACAGCTTCAAGAATTTGTTTTCCACGGCTTCCTGGCAAGCAAATGTGCCACTCAATTTCACGTCCATCTTTTCCACATCGTTCACCACATCCTCATTACAAAAAAACACCAATCTTTGGAATGGGAAGGAGAAAGCCCATAATGCATACAACAAAACTCAGGAGGATATTCTTAGATGAAGGAAAATTTAGCCAGGCCAATCCCTCATTCCATAAAATATCACCCACAATTGGTATTCTCAATTGGTATTTTCACTGAGAAGCAAGGGCCACTTCTGTAGGATTCCAGTTAGGCACACTACCCATATACCTATGTTTTAGCAATAAGTCAATGAACCTGCAGCAACAGCAATTTTCATTAAAAGGACCCCCCACACACACACATATTTGGGAAATAATTCAGCTACCAGGCAATTCAATCCTGCAATTTCATATTATACTTCAGAAGAAAGTCAGCAAGTGAAATAAATTAAAAGGGAATAGCCATATTCAACAGTCACTCATGCAGATTCCAGATCAAGTAAATGCTACTTAATAAAAACATGCTTTTTTTTAAAAAAATATATTCTAGACGCTACACTCCTTTGGCCTCTGTCAAAGTGAGAATCTTGAATAAGAAAACATTTGCAAGCCTCAGAAATAATCAGGATTGCACAACAAGGGACTTACTTCCTTGGAGTTTTGTGCCATTGTTTGTATTTCGTATCAACTGGAAAGCCTTTTGAAATCCCACTGCATGCTGCGTAGGGCTGTCAGATGACTTTATACTGCTAACGAAGGTGGACATCTTCCTTTTTGTCTCACTAGTGGCAGGAGACAGAAATGTCTTATAGCACTGATCCAGCGAGCAGGTTCTTACTGTGTCTGCCACGGTTAACACAGAGATCTTGAAAGAGAAGAAACTATATTGGATTACCTTACCATTTATAATTCTTTACACACCGATATAGAAAACACAATGATAAGCCAACTGAAGAGATTCTGTGGATTTAAAATTCAATTGTTAAAAAATAAATGCTTGAGGCATAAATCCATCAAATTTGAAAAGGATTAGACTTATGGTGATTTCAAGAAAAAGAGACTTCAGCCTTTGTTTCTCAGACGAAGTCAGCTTCACTCTGCTCATACATAATAGTTAATACACTGTTCTGGGCAGAAGCCTAAGTGAACTAGAGATAACTGAAAACAAAATCAGCAGAGAGCATTTTCAGGAAAGCCTTGAGTGCCTATAGAAAAGTGAAGTGTATACAGAAAATGAAAAAAAAACCAGCCCAAACTCTAAGAACTTTTCATAGGCATAGCATTATGTTGTTTTAATGTTTCAGTCAAAGTAAGTCAAATCTACCATCAATTTTTATCCTGTAAATAAGTTAAGGCATGCAGTGGTAACACTTGCATTAATATACACATAACATACCAGTCTTATTAAATGAGTGGCATACTTTATTATAAATTATGAGTGATGCAAGACAATCACAGGATTAAGCAGTAATTATATACCCATATAACAGGTTTCATAACCACTGAGTTACTGACCAAGTAATATGCATCTTAAATGTATTTTCTTCATTATAGGTCTACATTAAGACACTTTTGACACTTAAATTTAAGTACTATTAATTCTGCTAAACTATAAGCATTATTTTCCCGAAACTCTCTAGAAGCACAGAAGTTATAAGTGTTTTTCCCATACTATTAATGAGAAGACTTGAGGCAAAGATTTTAATCAGTTGTTCTTCAACTTGATTTGACTGAAATTCCCTTCCTACTAAAAAAAACGAAACCCAAGCAGAAAGAATGATCAAGGTCCCACTAGCAGAGAATTACTAAAAGTAAAGACCAAACTGGGGACTGCTTGTGGTCCCACAGAATCACCTTATGGGCCCCCAGTTGTAACCTGTACTGAAAAAAATTACAGGTTAAGTGACTTTCGCATTGTCAAGTAGAGTATCTGTGTCAGAGCAAGAAATAAACCCCAGATTTCTTGGCCCTTCGCTTTATCCTTTCCTTGCTGGTATCATGGTTGTCTGGGAATCTTTCAAACTAATTATATTTCAGGTCACTCCAGCATAGCAGCAGAGTAAATAATTTCCATTTTCATAAGCAAAAAAGAGCCTCAGAGGTAAAATGAGTTGCTCAAAGCAATCTAGTACTTTAGAAGTCATCAGACTCAGAGCATGTTTCTCCTAATTGCACAGTGTATCACACTGCTGACCATCACCTTGAAGTTCCTGCCAAGATGAAGAAGCCTTCAAAGATTACTCAGAAACAAGACTTTGCTTTACATCAGTGGTTTTCACTTTTTTTCAGCCTGTGGATCCCCAAATGTTTCTCCTGCAGTAATACAGGCTTCCAAAAGCGAGTTCAAGTCTTCATCACCCATTAGAGGTAGACCACAGATCCCCATGAATCCATGGACCACAAGTTAAAAACACCACTTTGGATGAAAACTGAAAACACTGAGCATGGTTGAAACCAATGAAAATATGCTCATTGCTTGGAGAAAGCTTACCTTATCGTGTTCATCTATAGAGCTCAGAATAACCTGAGCAGCATCTTTGGCAATCTGAAGCTGTGTCTCTGTGACCGAAGCCCCGTGGTCCACAATGACAACGATATGCTTGGACTGAGGTCGAACAGTAGAAACATAGACGGGCCTGAAGAAGAACAAAATCCAAACCACTGTCATGAGTCATCTTGTAATTTCCACTAAAATATTTACAAGTGAAAACAGTCAAGAATTAAAATCAAAATCATCCCATGAAGAAACAATGAATTATAACAGGAATTTTTGCCTTTATGGAAACTTCTACTAGGAAAGACCAGCTGAGAACCTGAACATACAGAAAAGGCCCTCGCTTCCACTCTCCTTCTGAGTTTTTAACTGAAATCAGTGTCAGATCCTTCTCCCTCTATTACAGCAACCACTTTCAGGTAGGAATAAACAATTTTGCTGATGCAGCAGCAGCGTTTGGGATTACTGTTTGCAGCAGCTCACATCAAGGTTTGGATTAAGTGTTGACAAGCACAAAATGCCTCATGATAAATGCTGGGTGCCGGGAACCTTACTCACATGTAGAAGTAAGTGCAATAGTGGTTATCTGCTGGTTACATGACAAGTAAAAACCTGTGCAACTTTGCAGAGTTGCATTAGCATAGGGTGTTTGGTTTATTGTAATAATGGAAGGCTTCTGGCCAAGAAAGGGTCTTCTCTTGTTGCCTGGAATGCATTTCACATGGGTCGTGCTCCACAACCCCTTGGGCGTGTGCAGTTTTAAACCCCACAGCCAATCTGAGTTAACTCTGGTGAAGGGTCTTGGAGCTGCCACGTGTCTGTTTGTGCTAACATCAAAAAACATATTTTCAGCGAAGCGGTGCTCAGATCCAGTTCAATATTGTGAGAGATATGTGAAAGATTTCACAAGCTCTCATGCCAAGGTCTTAACCTGGAACAAATTAGGAAGATCTTCAGCAAGGAGGAAGGATTAAAAAAAAAAAGACAACTCTCCTCTTTAGTCCAGACCCAAAACTAGTTAGAGTCAAGTGTGAGTTTTGGGATCTAAAATTTATTATATCAAAGACAGCCACAAAAATCTTATTAAGAGTAAAGGAAATGCAGAATACTTTAGACAAGGCACTGAAATAAACAACTGGCACAAATCAGTTCTTAATTGTAAAACAGCCTGCAGCTCTATACTGGTATTAATACTTAGAACTTAAATAGGGCCTTTGATCTTCAAAGCACTGAAGTATTAACTAATTAATCCATCCAAACTACCCTCTGAAGTAAATATTAGCAAAAAGGTATCCCTTATTTAACCATGAAGAATGTGTGACCCAGACTAAGTGATTTGGATGAAATCACCAATGGTTTTAGTGTCACAATTCTGATCAAGACTAGAGTACCCCTAGCTCTCACGTCTTCAGACCACACCTTTCCAAGACCACAGAAAACTTAATCAAGCCCAGACGCTTCATGCTTTGATGACACATAGAAGATAACATCTGTAAACATTTGATTGCTCACACTGACAGGTAACCAAAATACTTCTTAGTCTCTGTGCACTCAGCTACATGGAAACGTACCTGGATGTGCTGATACTTCCTCTGCATGGATTGATTAACCGGTACAATTAGCCAATGTGTGACCAGAGATACTAAAGCCACTGTATTTTCTGAGAAGATTCCACCCTTGAGTCTTTATCAGTCCCACAGCACTGACAGCAAAAGCTAGGGAAAAACTAACTGCACCACAAATGCTTTGCTTCATGCCTACAGAATAGAAATATTCCCCTGTGCAGGAAAACCCTATCACCATTTGAACATTTTTTCTACAGTTTTTTTAGTAGAAAAAGAAAGCAGCACTATTGCTGCTTCCCTGCTATCCACAATGTACCACCTGAACCTTGGGTGGAGACCGGAAAAATGCTCCTCCCTATGCCCCTTCAAGTCTCTCATCCTTCCACACCCCTCTCCAAAGTGATGCACCTGCCAAATCAGTAGAATACCTGTTCACTACTTCATTAAGAGGGTCAAGTATGAGTCAAATATAAGTCAAATTTTGCCTATGGGCTGACCTGCAACTTACAAGTTACTGCTTTTTACAGCTTAGTTGATTTGGGAGAGGTGAGCAACCTGTATGTAATTTTATTTTACTTCAAAGTTTCTTAAAAGTGAAAACTGGTGCTTTAAAAAACAAACCTAAGAAAACCCAAGGGACTCCATTAAAAGTTACTCATGAATGTGTCATCTTGGCAAAGCGTAACGCTGAAATGAAATCAGTGCTTGAGGAATTCAATTTTAGTGCCTTGCCCATTAAATCGTAAGGAGACAAAACATACCTGCTGCGGTGTTCATAGCTGCCTTTGCACCGGAACTTGTGGGCTGGGAAAACGGTGAAAATGCCTTCTTCTGAGCTGAAATACTGCCATTTAATTCCTGGGTTAGACTTCAGATTATCAGCAAGAACTAAAGGTTGGAGAGGAAACATGAAAAACGAAATAGAGTTACAAAGGGACGTCAAACTTGGAGGTGTGTTTATTCAAGGCCTCTCTCTCCTATGTGCTTGGAGAAGAATAACCAGAGTCCCAACACGAAATACAAGTAGCTCTATTTAAGGATTGATAGAGCTTCACATCTGACTTGCAAATAGTTAAAGTCTTTTGGAAACTTAACACTGGATTTGAGATTTTAATATGTGATGACAATTCCTGAATCTCTGAAACTGGGTCCCAAGAAGCCAAGGCAGGAGCAAGGAAGGAAGAGATTAAGGCAATTATATATAATATGTATACATACGAACATACATTTACATGTAATGATAAATACATTGTCCATATAGTTTTCATAAAGAAAAAACCCCTAATGTTAAAAAAAAAGAGTGTTCTTTATACTGAAATAACTCCAAAATATTAAATAGGTTTGCTGCTTACAGCTCTGTAACCTAATCTGTTAACATTACCTATTCTGACGTGTTTAAAAAGGTCTACATGAACATTTAGCAAAAATAGTTTTACATGCAAATGTGGGTCAAGGAAAAACTCACCATACAGGAATAGTTGAAAAGGTTCAAAAAACAGGAAGTCTTTCCTCTTTGCTCATCGTGGTCTCCTACTTATGTAAAGGTAGATAGGTACAGCTCCCACTCTTGGGACTCAAGAGTTCTCCAAGTTTCTCATTATCCCTGTGCCATAATTAACAAGGCTGTGGGCCCCTCAAGTATTGCTTGTTAGGAGAAATAGCCACTTTTCAGGGAAAACACAGCATCTTCCCTCAAAGGGTTATGCAGTGGCCACACTCTCC